AAATGAGTGAATGGTATAGTGTGAGAAGGGCATTTTGCAGCACGTAGTATCGTATCTTGGAGAGGATCCCAACCGTTTTGGATACTTTTTTTGTTATGTGTTGGATATGGGTGCTGAAATTCAGATTGTTGTCAAGGTATAGGCCTAGGAATTTGCCCTCATTATGTCTGGCAATTAGAGTGTTGTCGATCTTAATGTTAAGTTGCGCAACACCTGCTCTGCTACCAAACATAATATAGTAGGTTTTGTCAGTGTTAAGTTTATTGGCTGTCATCCAAGTCGATATTTTGAGCAGCTCCTCGTTAACAATGGTGTTGAGGGTGGCAAGATTAGGGTGAGAGATGACATAAGGCGTGTCGTCAGCAAAGAGAATGGGTTTCAGGTGTTGGGATACGTTTAGAAGATCACTGATGTAAATGAGGAAGAGCAGGGGACCAAGGACACTTCCCTGCAGAACTCCAGTATCAAGTGGTTGCGTTGATGATGCTGTGTCTTTAATGGTGACATACTGATACCTATTAGTAAGGTAGGATTTGAAATATGCAAGTGCATGGCCTCTTATACCATAATGATCAAGTTTGTGGAGTAGGATGCCGTGGTCTACTGTGTCAAAAGCTTTTCTTAGGTCAATAAAGATTCCTAGCGGATATTCCTTGTTTTCCAATGCTGTGTAAAGCAGATCTAGCATTTCTACAATTGCATCATTAGTGCTTTTATTTTTCCTGAATCCAAACTGGCAGGGGTTGAGTATGTTTTGTGCTGTTATAAATGAATATAGTCTCCTGTGCACGAGTTTCTCGAAGATTTTGAATAGCAATGGTAAGTTTGAGATTGGCCTATAGCTGTTTACATCTGTAGGGTCACCACCTTTATGTATTGGTGTAACCCTTGCTGTCTTGAGTAGTGTCTTCAAAGTGCTAGTTTCTAGTGACTTGTTAAAAAGTAATGTAATAGCATACGAAATGACATGGGCCGCTCGCTTGAACAATAATGGTGGGACATGAGACAGATTCCCTGAGTTATTTTTAAGTGACTTTATAATCTCAGTGACTTCCGTGAGCTCAGTTGGTACAAGATAAAAGGAATTTGGGAAATTCCCATCTAGGTAGTCCCTGACACGGGCGTTGGTACGTGGGATTTTACTGGCGAGATTAGATCCTATGGTTGAGAAGTCGTTTATCTTGTTAGCTGTATCAGTGTGATGCAGTGGTGTTTCATTAGGTTTAGTTAGGACAATATTTTTTTTTTTTTCAGTTTGTGGGTCCCCAGAATCTGGGATAACATGACATTTATATCAGGCCTAGAGCCTTTGACAGCAAGCACCCTAACTAATGATGAACCAAAACTAAAAAAGGTCAACAAATATGCGACTACCAATAAACTCACAATTATGCGGACCCTTGGTTTTTGCGAGTCTCAGTTTTCGTGAATTTTGGTTATTGGCAACTTTTTTTGTCAAAATACAGCCTTGGTTTTCGTGATTTCCCTTGGATTTCAGCAGTTGTACAGTATGTGTCCCAGTGGCCCCGCACACACAAAGCCTCCCACAGACGCATTCAAGAGTCAGTCTGGCATTGTTTCTCAGTGAGTGAGCATCACCCCCCACATTCATATGAAACAGTTCGTAATAATCCATTGTTTTTGTGCTTGCAACTGCTAAATAAGCCACCATGGGCCCAAAGAAAGCTCTTAGTGCCAGCCCTTTGGTAAATAAGGTTGTGGAATGTATTGTGGCATTGGGGATTTCCATGGGGTTGGATGTGGAAGAGTTGGTGAAGGACCACAGTGAAGAGCTAGCCACTGAAGAGCTGCAAGAGCTTCATCTGCAACAACAATAGACCACAGCTGAGGAAATTGCTTCAGAGGAGGAGGAAGAGAGAGAGGAGAAGGTGCCTTCTTCTATGATTAAGGATATTTGTGCAAAGTGGAATGAGGTGCAAACTTTTGTGGAGGAACATCACCCCAACAAAGCTGTTGTAGGCCGTGTCTGCGACAAGTTCAATGACAACGCCTTGTCCCATTTTAGGCAAAGCTTAAAGAGATGCCAGAAACAGAGCTCTCTAGAACAATTTTTTGAGCGACAAGGGTCCAGTGATTCTCAAGCTGGTCCTAGTGCCATTAAAAAACAAAGAAGGGAAGTAACCCCAGATAAGGACTCGGTACCTAAAATCTTTATGGAAGGGGATTCCCCTTCCAAACAATAGTAACTTCTCCCTCTCCCCTCCTCCCGTCTTCCATACACCAAGAGTCTTCAATAAAGGTAAGTGTGATGCTATTATTGCTTTATATTGATTTGTCATTCTTTTTTGTATGTATATCTATATTTAATCTCCAAAAAAAAATTTTTTTGTTAATACTTTTGGGTGTCTTCCATGGGAAAGTGGAACAGAATTCTTCCTCCGTAAGCCATGCGTGTCGTAAAAGGCGGCTAAAATGCCAGGAGCAAGGGACTAGTAACTCCTTCTCCTGAATATATTACTAAATTTAAAAAGAGAAACTTTCATTTTTCTTTTTGGGCCACCCTGCCTCGGTGGGATACGGTCGGTTTGTTGAAAGAAGACTTTTTTGGTGTCTGGAACAGATTAATTGGATTTACATTATTTTTTATGGGGAAAATGGTTTTGAGTTTTGTGAATTTTGGTTTTCAGCAGACTCTCTGGAATGGATTAATCACGAAAACCAAGGGTCCACTGTACTATTAAAAAAAGTTCTATATAATAACTAGGACTCAACCATGTCTTTAACCCTTTGACTGTCGAAGGGCCAAATCCTGAAGTTGCTTCTGGTGTCGCAAAATATTCGAAAAAAAAAAAAAATTATTTTTTCTTATGAAATGATAGAGAATCTTTTCCCGATTGTAAAGACACCAAAAAAACGAAATTTGATGGAAAACTGACAGAATTACGCTCTCGCGAAGTTAGCGACTTCGGCGATATTTAAAAATCGGCAATTTCGCCCACTTTGAGCCCTATTTTCGGCTAATTCCGTTATTCCAGTCAACCAAACTCATAACTATTTCTTCAGAACTCTATTTTTTCTATCGATTGAGTACAAGAAACTGCCCATTTACCGATTTCAACTACCCAATAACATGGTCAGAAATTTGCAATTTGGCCAATTTCACGAAAATTAAAAAATACGACAATTTCAAAATAAGGTCCAGAATGAACAATGCAGACATTCCTGGCTCTAAAATAACATTTTCTTTGCTCATCAGTCATGTCTCCAGGTCCCTGTGATATTACTCTTGCTTTTTATTTTGAAATTTTATTCAAACAAAAAATAGAAGATTTACTGTTATGCAGACTACTGCAATACTGTAATAATTGTAAAAATTACATCAACCCATTCATGACTGCGTATTAGAATGGCTATTTGGACATTTATTGGACAATGACATCATTTGTTCACTTTTGAACATCGGCAAAAATCAAACATTTCCTGTACTTTGTGCTCCATTTCCAGGTTCTTTTTATAGTAAAATTAATCAAAATCACCTCCATTTCTATAATATAGTTTCAATTCTATCAAATGAGACCAAGAAAACGAGAATACAACCACAAATACTATACGAAAATAGACCACAAAGTCGGCATTTTAATTAAAAAAAACGGTCGGAGTTTTTTTTTTCTCATTATGCACTGCGTGCTCCAGGATTTTTTTTATGTGGTGCACACTGACCACACAGACCCATTCTCTCACATGTGGGCCTACTAGCTTTCTCCTGCCTGATTTGAAGCCGCTAGAATTTATGAGTATATATACGTCAAACACGGTACCTCGCAAACGTATATATACGGCCGCGACAGTCAAAGGGTTAATAAGACAGAATCAATAAAACTGAAAAAAAAAAAAATGAAAAATTCCTAGGTCTAACTGTGGACAACAGACTGAAACTTAATGTTCATACCTAACACACACCAACAAAAGTATCTAAGACTGTAGGATTACCCTCTAAAACTTGCTGTTGTGTTCTGCAACTCATACTACTATTAACACTTTACTTTTCTCCTCATACCTTATACTGTACATGGAATCTGTGCCTGGGTTTTCCAGGTTAACTTCACCTAAATGATAAATACTGGAAAGCATTTACTTTACCATGTATTAACACTACAGGAAGTGTCTTAGCTAGTTACTTATAAGTTATTATTAAGACAATGTTATTTATAAGATTGCAGGTGTGAACCAGGTATCAGAATTTGATATTCAGCCTGCCACTTTCAACTTATTTCAGTATTCTAAGAGCCAGACTTCGTAATGATGGGCCTGGTTTTTGTACTGTAATGTTTTTACCACCTAACTTTGAATGGTATAGTTTGTGAACATAGCTTAAAAGGGTGCCTCACAAGCTCTCTGCAGGTTAATCATAACACATCACATCCACCATTTCTATTAGACATCAGACTAAGAAGTCAAAGCTGGCAAAATGCCAGGTAAGAAATGCTTGTGTATTTTAGGTTCTTAATTGTGAAATAATAAAAAAAAATCAGTATCAGAGCTCTAATTTTACCAAAAGTTAAAAACAGTTTTCAGCAATGTATATACTGATGTATAAAAATTGACTTCAAATCCCATTCCAAGTAAAATGCTGTCTGCATTAAAAATTTATGTGGAGTTTCCTTTCCTGTATGTAAGATGTTTTATAAGGGCCTACTTTAAGTAATCCCAATGGTATCCTTAATAACCAATATATCTGTGCAACATAACAATGCCTTTGTAACAAAAGTAACCTAATAGTGCACAGCGTATCTACTGAATATGTTTTCAGTTCATTTACAGCTATCATGCTTTAAAAAAAAAATCTTTTGATATGACACAAGCAGCAGTTTCAATCACCAGCAAATATGGCATATCAATTGCCTCTAGAGAAGCAATAATCAGAATAATAAGGCCCAAGCAACTAACACCACTGACAATGCAACACACTGTCAGATGGTTCAAGATTAACTTCCTAATGTAGGCAATATTTATAGCAAAGATAAAATGAAAACTCATACCTTCAGGGATATTGTGCGTAACAGTAAACGTCTTGCCAGTGTCTAGAGGAACAGTCCAATTTACTGGATCTGGACTTTTTACCATAACCTGGAAAAATTACAATAAAATTAGTATGCCCTACTGTCATAAAAATTAGATTTACAGTAGTTTCCATGTAAAATCAAATAAAGGCATACTTATCCATATCACAGTAAAAACATTTAAAAAATGAAACCTCTTTGGTGTGTCAGTGCAATTAATGCACATGAATTTACAAAGCTATCAGGAAATTATGCATTTCATAAATACACTAATTTTGTATTAGTTACATGGACTTGAATTTCAAATTAAAGAAGGAGCCAAAATACAAAGAGCTAAGAAGCAAATACATATTAAAGACTAAGGAAAATATTTTATTAAGGATGAAGGAGATACAGGTGATGCAAGACAGGGTGCAAAAATTTTAAACATGACAAGAAGATCAAGGCTAATAGAGGTTATAATTAAAGAATGGACGCACAAGAAAGGGAACTAGAAAAATTTTACGACAAAAATCATTTAAAGAAAGAAGAATAAAAATGCACTGCTTGTAGAGGATAGCTTTGTGTCTGATAGTGTCAAATAAAGAGATTTCCTCTGAATAAGAAAATAGGAATACGAATGGTGAAAAATACAAATAAAATGAGGTTTTATAACAAAACAGGAATGAGAAATTTTTTTTAAGACCTCAAAACACCTTTCATTGCCATCTTGATACACATCACATTTATTACAATTACAGATTATTGGTAATTTAACAATTAGTAACAATGTACAAAAACAATTATCAACAAAATAAAATACTAGTGTTGCACAAGTACTGTATAATGTATCAGTGTGAAATAATGCCAAATGGCTACTCTGCCCTTTTGGTTGGTACAACATTGAGTCTCTGGATCAGTTTTTTTTTTTTTTTTTTTTTTTTTTTGTGGGGTGGGGGGGGGGGTTATTTCTTGAAAAGAACTGCCCCTTTTTAGTGGGTTCCTCTCCTTGTTACTGATCATCTTTTTTTACTTTTGTTTTGGCAAGTCTCTGCCTTTGCATAGCTTAGTCGTATTGGGTCTTTAACAATATCAGGCATCATTGCTGATTTTTCTTTTAACACACTGGCCATCTTCACTGAGGCAGGGTGACCTGAAAAAGAAACACTTTCACCATCATTTACACTATCATTGTCTTGCCAGAGACATGCAGATACTAAAGATGGAGGCAAGTAATGTCTTTGTGGTATCACATGAAAGCTCTTCTGTTTCTTTCACAGTAGCCACTGCTAGTTATGGGCCACGCCATAGGGGCATTGAAATCTGGAACACCCACAAGGTATACTCCAGCATCAGGTCTTCCTTGACCTTGGCCAAAGGCGCAGTTTTTACTATCATCCACTCATTTTCTTTCTTTCTCAGTTTCTTTAATTCTTCTTCGGGGTGGCCCGGTGGCCTGGTGGCTAAAGCTCCCGCTTCACACACGGAGGGCCCGGGTTCGATTCCCGGCGGGTGGAAACATATCGACACGTTTCCTTACACCTGTTGTCCTGTTCACCTAGCAGCAAATAGGTACCTGGGTGTTAGTCGACTGGTGTGGGTCGCATCCTGGGGGACAAGATTAAGGACCCCAATGGAAATAAGTTAGACAGTCCTCGATGACGCACTGACTTTCTTGGGTTATCCTGGGTGGCTAACCCTCCGGGGTTAAAAATCCGAACGAAATCTTATCTTATCTTATCTTATCTTCATTCTGATTTGCTTTCACTTTTCTTTCCACCTAAAGCACAGTTGTTTCACTGTGTATTAATAACCAATAACTGATGGTTGGATCCATTTGCTTTTTGACCTGACAAGTGGTTGTTCTTGAATGTTGTCTACTAGAATTCTGATGAAATATGACTACAAACCATCTTCAATCATATAGGAAGCACTTGTTCAACTGAAACTAAAATTCCCAGGCAATCCTACTGTCTATAAACATGGATTTCAATGTACGTATTCCTATTGTAAATAACTGAACACAGGCTGTAGCTTAACTGCGCTACCTTAGCTAGCCAAATAATCTAAGCAGTGATAAAAGCATCATTATTGTTTATAGTTATGAGACTTTTGTTGCTACCACTGATCATTTATTATGTAGGAACTTTTGTTGGGAAGGTGCTGCTTTCTGAAGTAAACAGCTTGGTGTGACTATTGTAATTCATGTTTATGTTTGTCTTTCTTGACATACTGGAGAAGTTATGCCTTTCCTGAAGTTTCCTTTACATGTCTCTAAAATCAACAGTATTTGTAAAATATACATTTTCCTTAGCAGCATCATTGACTGAGCTTCTGTTCATTTGAATCAATATAAGAAAGTCAAGAAGTGTACAGTGGACCCCCGCATAGCGAACTTAATCCGTGCAAGAGGGCTGGTCGTTATGCGAAATGTTCGCTATGCGAATTAATTTTCCCCATAAGAAATAATGGAAATAAAATTAATCCGTGCAAGACACCCAAAAGTATGAAAAAAAATTTTTTTTACCACAAAAAAATGTTAATTTTAGTACACACAAACTGAAAAAGGCATGCACAATTACATGACACTTACTTTTATTGAAGATCTGGTGATGATTGATGGGATGGGAGGAGGGGAGAGAGAGTGTTAGTGTTTAGAAGGGGAATCCCCTTCCATTAGGACTTGAGGTAGCAAGTCCTTTTCCGGGGTTACTTCCCTTCTTCTTTTAATGCCACTAGGACCAGCTTCAGAGTCACTGGACCTCTGTCGCACAACAAATCTGTCCATAGAGCTCTGTACCTCCCGTTCCTTTACGATTTGTCTAAAATGGGCCATAACATTGTCATTGAAATAGTCACCAGCACGGCTTGCAACAGCTGTGTCAGGGTGATTTTCATCCATAAAGGTTTGCAGTTCAACCCACTGTGCACACATTTCCTTAATTTTTGAAGTAGGCACAATGGATTCCACAACTGGCATAGGCTTCTCAGGGTTAGCCCCAAACCCTTCAAAATCTTTCTTAATTTCCATACTAATTCTCACCCTTTTTACCACAGGGTTGGCACTAGAAGCTTTCTTGGGGCCCATGGTCACTTATTTTCCAGAAACAGCACCGAAAACACTGTAATAATACGAAATATTCCGAGTGTATGCTTGAATGTTACCGCGGAGGCTGGCTGGTAAACAATGGACGCGTCTCGGACGAAGGTCGCTGAGCGGGTTTTTGTCCACTATGCGGGGCAAAATTTTGGCGAACAAAGCGTTCGCTATGCGGATTGTTCGCTATGCAAGGCGTTCGCTATGCGGGGGTCCACTGTATTTGGTAGCAGCAGATGCTCCATGCTTTTTTCTAAAGTCGAAGTCACAAGTACAGTTGTCAAAATGTCATGATAGACAGATTTTTCTTGATTTTTATATCAGTGTATCAGAAGAATCAGCAAAAAATCTGATCAGAAGCAGAAAGCTAATCATTCACAATACCACGGAGGACTACCAGAGTTCAAATTCACAGCATATTAAATAACATGCTCAACTACTACCATGCATGTTAAATTGCACGTTCAAAGGTTAATAACTAATAATTTTCTAAGAATATACAGACTAAACAATAACGCATTGTATACACAAAAGAAAAAATATAACTGGGAAAATAAATGTACAGTACATACAATGATTATATACAATATCTAAAGAAAACTTCTCAGTTGAACTACATTACTTTGCAAACCTCAACTCTTCACTACAAAAGAACAGAATAGTGTAAAAGTCCCGAGAAAACATACCCATTTACCAACCTGATCAGGCGACTTGACCCGAGTTGGCTCAGGTGGGGTTTTTACCACAGGTTCGTACTTCTCTGGGTCAAATCGAGGTTCTGGGGTAGATTTTCTTGCAGTTGATTCTTTAACAGCTTCCACAGGTTCCTTAGAACCATCCTTTGGTGCAAGATCCTTCATGATATCTTTAGGCCCATCTTTGGGTAAGATTTCCTTTTCTTTATCCTTTTTGGAGTCAGTTTCTTCACCTGTTGAGATATTATATATATTATGCCTTATCCCCAAAAAAGGATGCATTTCCCAAGAACTTTAAGGTGACTGCAATGCAGTTATATCTATGCAATCCTTCTAGTTTGTTGACAGACTAACGTGCAAGTCTCATCCACTGAAAGTACTATATCATTCTTGGTATAAAAATGCACAATTTATGCTATATTTCTCACTGTATTAACAAAAACTGAGATCATTTTAATAAGTTTTGCATTTACATGAAAATGAAGTACATTCCAATACAAAAAAGGTATGCTAAAATAAAATACAGATATTATTAAGAAAGTTAAGAGAGTACAAACCTTCACCAATATATCAAACATAAAAAATAATAAAACAGCATAAAGTACAAGTAAATAAACATAAAGGAATGCTCAAATAAACAAAAGAAATGCAATAAAATGATAGTGTAATGCTCAGAAAGAATAGTAGAGTACAGTCATGTTTAACATAACAAACCAAGGCCACTCACCCAGATAGGACAATAATTAGAGGCACAAACAAATATGATTGTGTGAGTTTGAGTGTGTGCATGTTGTGTGTTTTGTGTATATACTCACCGAGTTGTGTTTGCAGTGTGTGTGTGTGTGTGTGTGTGTGTGTGTGTGTGTGTGTGTGTGTGTGTGTGTGTGTGTGTGTGTGTGTGTGTGTGTGTGTGTGTGTGTGTGTGTATGTGTATGTGTATATATGTGTATGTGTATATATGTGTATGTGTATATATGTGTATGTGTATATATGTGTATGTGTACATGTGTGTGTACATGTGTGTGTATGTATGTACATGTGTGTATGTGTATGTATGTTTGTGCAAGTCCATGTACTTTTGTGTGTATGTACTTGCATGTGCATGTGTGCATGAGTCTACAACATAAAGTACCATGTGCAAACTAAGTTTCCAATTACCACATTTCCATCTTACTAGAGAATTGTTCATAAATTATTTGTTGCACTAATTTCACAGTAGAGCACAATTCATCTTAAAGGTTTCAAAACATGGGACTGCATTCATATGAAGCTTTAACATCATTACAATCAAATCATCCATTAACAAATACACGCGAACTGAAGGAATATGAAGACAACCACACAATAACAGTTATTAGTTACTGTTTCAATTGAAAATTACATTAAAAAAAAAACATTTAAGAATTTAGAGGATGCCTGTAGCTACCCAAAGAATAGGATTGCATTCTCTGATCTTGCCAGGGTTGAGGGAAATAAAAAAAAATAAAAGCTCTGCTCAGATGAATAGCTTCAACTTCATACAGAAAAATACAATAGTAAGGAATGCATATGTTCCAACTACTGCACATATGACATTACTTTTTTTATGAATCCACAGCTTCAGCTATGAAAGTGAATAAAATCTAATCAGAAAAATATGAAATACTGAATAAATTATACCAGGCATTTAATCAGTTCATATGTAATGCCTAAGATTTCATTTCATACTTTTATTTTAATTTGACTGAAAATACATGTATGAGTAGTCCCACATCCATGTCTATCACATATGTAATGGCTAGGATTTCATTTCATACTTTTATTTTAATTTAACTCAAAATCTGAGCAGTCCCACATCCATGTCTATCACAGTGTGTAGTAGTTAGTACAACAGAACTTTACAATTCATATCACTTTTTATAGTGTAATACTTTAATATATTGTACAGTACTAATAAATACTAAAGAAATTTCCCTATACCCTCTGGCAAGGAGCAAAACTAAACGAAGGTAGGGAAAAAATACATGGAAGGCAAAGTAGACAATAAACCAACACACTTGCTAGCATGGGTCTCTACTCACTACAGGACACTCTTTAATCCGACCCTCGTTTATCCGAAACATTTCTATATCTGGCAGTTCAGGCAATTTGTATACAGGTTTCCCTTGCTTTACGCAGTTTTGCTTTACAAGAATTTGCATTTATAGGATGGCCCCAATTTTTATCAGTAATTTGCTACATGTATTATAAATTCACTTATTTTTGTGATCACTCCAGCACACCACCACTTGGTTCTTTAACTATCTGCAAATATCACTCAAAACTCATTTATATTGATATTTACAAGAAAAAATAAGAGACAGAAAATGAATTAGGGTGCAGAAAATCCAATGAGTATATTTTGAAGGAAATCCTCTGGCTGTTTTTTAATTTAATTCTTGGGTTTCAAGTCAAAACAAAATGGGGGCGCAGCCAGATGAAGTTCAATAGAGCAGATGTGAAGTTGAGACTAGGGGTGGAGAAGAAGAGAAAGAAGAAAAGAAAGATATATTCACAAGTTCATAAGTTCTGTGCCTTAATTCAGACAGAAACAGGTTGGTTAGTTGGTGTTGGAAGGTAAAAGGGAAAAAAGGTTTAAATGGGAGAAATTTTTTTGGACCAAATTCATTTCTTGTGGAATGTGGTCATTTGATGTCTACTGGGTATGCTCATAATATTTTTGGAAGAGGTCAATAAATGTGAAATTTCATTTCTCAATTCTGACACTATGTTAACTGTACAGAAGGAATAACACTTTTTTTTCTCATTTAATTGTGGACCAAATTAATCTCTTTTTTCTATAGGACTGTATGGTGCATATGTATGGAAAATTCATATTCATTTGGTAAACATGTATCAAGAAATGTGGAATTTGTAGTCTTGGTACTTATCCCTATGTTTTACATGTTATACTGGGTTCACTTTATGTGCCAGTGGCCTGGAACTCATCTATCGCATAAAGCGAGGGATACCTGTAGTAGATAATGATCTATTAGCTTAAGAATAAGTAAGATTCAGGGCTTCTCCTCTCACATCATGCACTCTATTTATTTGCTTCAGTCTTGTTCTATGGTGTGTTTGTATTGGAAAAATCCTACAGAAGACGAACGTGGTAATCGGATTAACGAAGTGCGGCAGTAAGGATGAACAAAAAATTGCTTTCCCACCAACTCTACTTACTAAGTGGCATTTTTTCAATCCTACTTACTAATATGTTTTTTCTCCACTTTGCTCTTGTCCTCACCCTTCTTAGGCGAAGCAGTGGGGTCATGAGGCTTAGCTTTAGTGGCTTTCTTAGGCTCTCTACCCTCATCATGGGAGGAGGGGCGGTGGGGCAAAGCGTCTGTACCCTTGCGACGAGCACTAGTGGAGAGGGACGCTAGAAAAAGAGCATCGTGCCTATGTAATGGACCTGGCAAGCTGCTGGGTGGTGGTTTGTGGTAAGGGGTAGAAGCAGCATTATATAAAATGTCTGCCAGTTTGTCTTATCAGATGGCTAAAAAATGTGGCATCATGCCTGTGCAATTCTGTTAGGGCGTTTGATGAACGGAATTTCCAAAAATCAAATGCTTGTATCAAGTTTTTTACCAGTAGCTTCAGAATTATAAACAAACAAATAAATGCACAAATAAACCAAATTATGAAGCTGTGCAGAAATGAGATATGTGCATGTAGAAGTTGAATAAGTTTACAGGGTACAGTATTTAAAGAAACAGCTGCTGTGTTTACTGCTACATATACTTACAATTTCTGTCTCGAGCAAATGCTCAATACTCCTTATAACTATGGTAAAAGAACTAAAATAACAATCATATGTACATCATAATGTCTCACTTTTATCAAATACAACAAAAACTTTACTTCATAATTTATATATTGTATTATTAAATATGAAATCAACTAAGTACAGTATAAAATATGAATGTAACTTATTTCTACTTAGCATACATGTTTCAATGCAATATTCACCATTACTATACTGTAAGTAGGTCGAGTCTTGTATGGCTTGAAAGTTATGTCATGTCTTTTTTTTTTTTTCACAATATTGATTTTACTATGCAATTTCTCACTCCATAAACCTCTTATAAAAATGTTGGATAAATGTAGCAACATTTTGTGATATATCTTAATTCTAATTGTAGCTGCCTTTTATTATCCTTCAACTTGTTAAATCTTCTAAACATCACGAGACACCCCAGCATTCTTTTCTATATATATTCCTTTGTACAAGTAAATAGCAAATGCTTAACTGAATTTTCTAATCAAACTGACATTCAAAATTTCTATCATTTAAATTTTGTATCTGGCACTTGAAAGGTGTGTGATTACAGCTAATACTTGAGTGTTTCATTTTATAGATGACATGTGTTATTCAGCTGTCAGTGAGTAAAAAAGAAATAACCCATGAAATATATATTTATTTGTTCATAATAAATTTGATTTCATGTGACTAATGTTAAAAAGAGGTATATGAAACTGAAGGTCAATGCTGTAATACAACTCAAAATACATAATGCTTGAACTTCTTTGGTTAATATTTATACTATTACTGTACTGTTTCTATTTTCTGTGGGGAGGAAGATGTTTTGGATTATAAGGATACCAATAAACTAGTATTAGAGTATTAATTAACAACCTTGGTCTCATGTTCCTCAATTTGTGTCATTCATGACTTGCCCCCTTAAAGTTTGCAATACTACATACGAGGAGGAATTTCAGGAAAAAGGCCAGTAATATTAGTCTTTTACACTTGAGTGATGCTAATGCAAAAGAGCCGTCAAAGCTTTAAGCTCTATGTTTCTGATTAGTTTCAACTTAAATTCAATAAAAATGCCTGAAAATGCCGAAGACTTGGGAGCAAAGTTAAAAATAATTTTCGGAGAAACTGTTCAAGGTGATATGGATGCTCTTCCTACAGCTATTGCCAGTTACCCAAATCAAAAAAGAGAGACCACACAAAGTAGAGCTGCCCATGCTGCCAACAGCAAAATGTATTACAGAAGCACAACACTGAATGGTATAGGCCAAGTTAAATCTTTCATGATGCTGAAATAGGAGATAGTAATTTAAGAAGGAACTAGAGTGAGAATCTGCAGATAATCATCAAGGAAGTTAAAATTTATTAGAAAGGATATACTATATTTTTACAGACTGTATTTTATTTTAGTAACCAAATTCAACATACTGACTTTTTTTTTAAATCTGATTGGAATAAAATACACAATTAAAACTTCTGAAAATTTAAGAAAAGACTAGCGACCCTACCCTACGAAAGCAACTGATACTGCAAACTAATAGATCGTCTTATACACAGTATCTGCCTAAACTGCAATGAGACATTGTAAGAAATTTCTTTACCACTACAGAAATGATACTACTAAATCTTATTTTTAGTCAGCTGGTATATGGCAAAGTTTTGTTATCACTTGGCAAAACATCCCAAATTTCTTAAGAAGAAAAACTATTAGCAGTACAAGTCATTCTCATCTAAAAAATAAAACCTTATTTTGCCTATGAAAACATTCACTTGCAAAGTATAAGAAAATTTAGCTTTCACTCTTACCCTTTCTGATGATACTGTAGAGCATATTATACTGCATATTTTCATACCGGTATTTATTCCATTTTGGAAACATGGTGTGTTGGTTTTCAATAGATTTTTGTATATTTACATGTTAATTATTATTACTGTATTATTATGAATTATAATAATAATAATCAAGGTAAGTGCCAAACCTAAAAGGGTTTAGCACTTACCTTGAAGAAAAATATGCATACTTTCTTTTTCTTGCATTTTTATTTTGTTTTGATTTCAAATACAGAATAATATGAATTACTGAAAATAATTCATGTTTGGTGGGGTCCTCTAGAGTTTCACCAAGTGTTTCAATGTTATGGTACACTGCCCTTGGCCCCCAAGGAGTTTGAGTTAGTGGGATTTGATTGTATACTTTAATAAACATTTTTATAAGCTGTTCACTTTCCAGAGTGCCTTCTTCCTCATTATATACAAACACTAGCACAAAAGATATTTACTCATGATGCTAAAAGACAGAAGAAATAAAGAATTTGATTATTCAAGAAAATAATGTAGCTAGAATTTAAAAGGTACAACAGCAAGAGCAATATGATTTACAGCTAGTGATGTGGAGACACAGGACCATGTCTTACCCTTGCCGTCTTTTTTAACTAGCGTACAACAAATAAATATCTTGTACCATGTAGCACAGACCATTTAACTGTCTTATGCAGAGGTTATCTCAATTTTTCTCACCATTGCCTGTTATTCCTTTAATATTATTTTTCATTAAAATTATTTAATCCTCTACAAAATTTTGCTTTTGTAAATTATTTATTAATTTAAAACCTCCCTCCTTCAACAGCCTTTCTTCCAATACAATATTACTGTACATCAATTTCATTGAATTGGATCTCTAGTGTACCTTGCTTCCTTTGGTTACTTCTGGCTCTTACTCAATGGAGTGACTACAAAGAATTTCATCTGTTTAGTATGTCACTCTTATTACATTAAGGAACATTTATATTTGTCAAGGAATTTCACTAATAAACTATGCTTTATAAGTCCACTTTTCTTAATTAAATCATCCTTAACATTTACTCACTCTATTCTACCTACATCATAAAAATTTGAGGATATTATACACAGCTGTTTTAATGTACTCAAGAATATGAAGCACATATACTACTATAACTCTTTTTCAAACACCTTCATTTTCATTACCATATTCTTATTTCACAACCATGTAAATCAAATACTTTATATCCAATTTATATAAACAGATAAAACACTTTGTGAAGCACTACATGTTTACCTACATTCAAAATAATTTATACTGTACTTAGATTACTGTAGGTCATTACCATTTACCAGCAGGCCATTTGTTATCTAGTTATAAGGAGTGTAATTATTTAGTTGCAAAGAAATGTTTACAAAACTTTCTACACAGAGCCAAATATCCAGACAGTGCCTCTTCTACCAATCATATCAGAAGTCAAAGTTATATCGAGATTATTATTATTTTACAGCTAATTCTTCTCTCAAAATGCCAACATTTTTATTGTTCACATTAAAATATGTCATCTGATAAAAAAAAATTGTGGTAGAATGGACAACTGAAGAAATGGGAAGAAAAAATTACTGAAAAGTTAATGTCTCCTGGAATAGCACAAATATAATATGACTGTATATTTTTTGGGTGTTTTTGTAGCCCACAGATTGTCAGGTCCAAGAGGAAATTCTTAGCTAACTAGTTTGCAAGGTGAAAACCAACTGTTCACTTAAAAGAAAAAACGAAAATAATAAGAATCCCATATGTTCTATATTTCTAACCCAATTTGTTGCAACTAGATGCATAAGTTTGCATTTCTATATTTGATACTCTATGAAAGCTTAGGCTCTACATAACATTACTTCTAAATATTTGTAGCCAACCTCATTATCTAATACGGATGATCCTTCCATAGTCAGGCTTATTACTGGACATGTATATACAGTACTATATCTGCAATACTTAATATTAAATACATCTATCTAAATAATCCATCTTACACCAATCTCACCATTAAAACAGCTAGGAATAATGTCAACAAAATAACAAGTTATAGGCCTTACCAGCATGTACAAAAGATATGAGCTGGGCAAATTTTTGATAAAACAACAAAGTAAAACTGACAAAATCTCAGCTGACTATTTTGTGATCAGGGGATTTCAATACTTTATATGCATACCCAAGAATTCTCATAATTTGTGTAATTTACTCTAATTTGAAAACAAAAATATTACTCAAACCTGTCACAGAATTTTTGCAGAAGGCTCTTGTTCCCAAACTATAAAAATACTTTTAATTGAGATTTTAAATTCAAAGAAAATACCGTTCAATAATTTTGTAATACTATTTAAAGGAATTTAGACTTAATAATAGTTTCATATAAAAATTATACACACTAATATTTCTGAAATGTAATTTCAAACATAAAAAAATGCTTTTCATTATTTATACAGTTTTAAACTTTGTATAACTAATAAAAAGGATAGAAATTAGAATTTCTTCCACTCAGGAACTTTTGATTTTGAAGTAAAAATTATTACTGTAATTGCAAAAATTCAAAGTTTTGAAAACTTTTCTTTAGAAGCTAAAATAAGTTGATGACCATTTTAATACAGTAGTATTATTTGTTTAAAGAAAATTTATAAAAAGAAGAACAGTTCTTAAGTTATTTTACTGACAAAAGAATGTCCAAAGAAATTACATTTACAGAAGATAAGAAAATTAATAAAAATTGTTTTCAGTAAACAAACAAGATTTTTTTACCATTTTCAATGTTACATGATATAGAAAATGTTTCATATATAAAAGA